TCAAAAAGCGACTCCCAAATCTCTCTATTACTCCAAAAATAACATGTTTGGCGTCTGATTTGTTTTACTTTCTTTCTGCTGGGAGAAAAAAAGATAAGTTTATAAGTCTATGGATATGAAATTTCTCTGAATAACGGAGAAATTCAAAAAAACATGTGTATATTATTAACCAAAATCTAAAACAATGGAGAGGAGAAAGCTTTCAGAAGAGGAGGGCCCAGCCTGGACACATTTACTATTTATAAGTGCTCGCTCTTGCACTGGTTCTAAAGGGGGGGGGGCTCATTTGAAAGTGGGTGGAATTAGAGCGACCGGGCCCTTTCCCTTGGACCCCCCACCGGCCATGAGGTCACTGACCAGGGCCCCCACTGACTCATAAACATAAAGGGAGGAGAGAGCATCAATAAGACATGAGGAGTGGGCCGCATGTATTTTTAAGAGCAAATTCTGTGTGATGCCGGGCAGAGGGCAGAGCCGGACCCGGTCTTTGTGTGAACCGAGTGTGAGTCCGGGTCTGCGTCCACTGGTGCAGGAGTGGTGCAGGTGAAGAGAGGCTTCCACTGCCCACAGCTCCTCAGACTCGTGCAGGGATGAAAGATTTATCCGAAAAATGAAATACCAATTTGAATGGCTGTGTGTAGGAAACTGAGATTGTTGTTATGGCAGTAGGTAAAGCATACAGCATCATTTAGAGCTGGGGGTAAAAAATACATGTTGTTTGTCAAAAAAGTGTGAAAAAATCAGACCACAACATGCAATATTCTTCTTTTGTGTGAGAAGGAGTCAATAAATGACACTTTGGGCTGAAAGCTGAGAGTTGATTGGCTGAGTGAGGGTGATCATGTCATGTGGGTTAATCGAAATGCGCCTGAAAATGTAAAAGATTTAATAAAAGTGAACACAAAATCAAAAATCCAGAGTAAACAACAAAAGGTAACCAAACAGTGACTGAGGAAAAGAGGTAAAACAGACGAGGAATGACTATTTATTCATTTATTTTCACATCACCAATACATTACATTTTGTGTGTGTGTGTTTTTTTTGTGATTTGTGAAATAAACTGATTTCCCAAAAAGCTCTGCAAAGCTTATAAAATAGGGTCCCACATTTAATGACAGAACAGGGAGTGAAAAGAGCAACACAGGGGTTGAATACACGAGACAAACGAGATACAGATGAGACAGATGACGGCGGGGCAAGTAATCAGGAAACAAGAAGTAGAACTAAAGATACAGAGGTAGCAAATTACAAAATAAAACAGGAAAGAAACCTAAACCATGACAGATCCTATCTTTGACACGTTTCTGTCTGGAACAGCTGTAGTGATAATAAAAAGATACATTAGAACTAGTGTACATGTATGCCTCGGTCCTCGTTCTCCAGCCTCAGTCCTGGATCTACAGCCCGTCTGTCGGTGGGAGACGGGCAGAGACCATCCCTCCCTCAATGTGGACCTTCCCTGAGGTTTCTTATCTTCATCCACTGGTTGTTCAGAGTTGTTCTTTGCCGATGCAGGAGGGTCTAAGGCAGGGGTCTCCAACCTAAAGCTCGGGAGCCACTAGTAGCTTTCCACCTTCTTCCAAGGAGCTCGCCAAAGGATTTAGAAATGAAAAAAAATCAAATAATATACGTAAAATTTCAGATTGTATCATCATGTAAGTAAGTAATCTTTATTTATATACCGCTTTTCACAGACCAGAGTCACAAAGCAGTTTACAGTTGTGGGCATTTGTCCTCTCCACACAGAGATGGGAGTGAGGTCGCCAGTACAGGAGGTGCATGCCAGAGCTATTGTACATGTTTTTAGTGGTAGGGGAAACCGGAGTACCCTGTGGAAACCTACGCAGACACGGGGAGAACATGCAAACTCCACTCAGGCTCTGTTCCGACCGGGATTCGAACCCTGGACCTTCTTGCTGAGAAGCGAGAGTGCTATCCACTGCCGCCCTAGGCAATTATGTTTACCTATTATTGTAAATGCACTTACTTTGTGCATTAGTAACAAATATGCCACGACAGATAATGACGTACCAGGCTCGTTCACTCCAGTATATCACCCCATTTTTCCCAGGGCCGTTTTAAATAGTAGCTAGCTGCTGTGATCGTTCCTGGCAAAGCAGCTCTCCGAGTGAAAAAGGTCGGAGAAACCTACCACGGAACTCTGGTTGAAAAACACTGCACTATAGAAATAAATAGTATGTAATTAATATTAATGTATGTACCACATTTTTACAGACCAAGGTCCAATTTGAATGGCTGTATATAGGAAACTGAGATTGTTGTTATGGTAGGTAAGGCAGATGATAATGCAACCTACATAGACACGAGGAGAACATGCAAACTCCACTCGGAAAGACCCTGTGCCGACCGGGATTCGAACCCTGAGAAGCGAAAGAGCTACATCCACTCTGCCACCGTGCCAGCACAAGATTAAAACACAATCTCCAACCATTCAAACACTTTTATTTGAGACTTTCCCACTATCGCCGCCACAGAGACCAGCCTGGGACCAGCCTGGGACCAGCCTGGGACCAGCCTGGGAGCATTAACAGTGTACACAGTATTCAGGGCCGGCTTGGATCAGAAGAGAACTGGATCTATTTTGTGGGTTTGATCCGGTGCCACGTTCTCTCTCTCCAATCAGAGCCCTCGAGCCAGCGCTGTGTCAAATGTTGAAGTTGCTGCTGTTTTTTTTTGCTATGGGGGGGGGGGGGGGGGGGGGCTGGGTCCAGGTGGTCTCTGTGGAGGAGCCACTGGAGCAGACGTAACAGGTTTATGAATCAGAGATGGAGCGTGAAGAACATTTGCTGTCCAGCTGGGAAGGATAAAGGGCTTTTGATAATAACGTGGATTAGAAAAGCGGATAATGCACCTAAAGTAAACAGTGAACCACACCTATGGGCAAGGCGGGTTTTATTGATATGGCACAGTCCGTATACACGAGGCGACACACAGTGCTGGATAAAACAAGATAGGAAACGTTAAAAATCACAAATGCATCAACATGAGTTGTATGTACTGATATAATAAGTTTAATCAAATTCAAATAGATTTTCCCCATGTTAAAAATATACAGTCATATGCAAGTACAAAATATCTTATTAATATCAAATGCTTTATCTAACTTTAAAGGAGCTATACCCGTTTCTGCAAGGTTTGAATGTTTAGCACCGCCCTCAACTCGCTCACAGGCTTCTCATTTCCCCTACGCTCTCATTCCGCGGAGCCCATCCATCCATCCATCCATTTTCTTCCGCTTTATCCGTTGCCGGGTCGCGGGGGCAGCAGTCTAAGCAGAGACGCCCAGACTTCCCTTTCCGCTGAGCCATGTAGTTTTATTTGCGATCTATATGCTAACATTAGCATGAGCACAACTTCTTGTAAGCTGAACAACAATCACTGATGAAATGGTACAAAAGCAACGCACTGCTAACAAAATATATACAGTAACTGAAAGATTAGCGCTAGTTTCATGTCCGAATGTAGTCGAGCATAGATAGTCCGAGACGGATACGATGTAAGCAAGCTATTTTCAGGGCTCGATTTCTTCTTTGATCATTTTTTGGCTTTAGTTCCCTCTTCTCTTCCTCACTGTTGTGTCGTTTGGGCTGTTTTGCTGTGTCTGCAGTTACAGCAAAAGGAGTTATAGCCACTTCTGCTAACATGCTACTGTGTTTAGCAGCGCTGTAGAGGCTAGAGGACGCAGCCTCGTTCTGTGATTGGAGGAGAGCGGGCGTCACGCTAAGTTTCTACTCAGCCCTTTTTACGGCCTGAATTCATAAACAGCTGAATCAATGAGCTCAAGTTTTCAATTAAATGACGGATTATAAAACAACTTGTATGTAGTAATAAGCATGTTAATGAACTGAAAAAATAAAAAATAAAAACGGGTATAGCATCTTTAATTGTATATGCAGTGCTTGGGCATTTTCTTTAATCTTCTATTAATCAACAACAATATATTTACTACAAGGAATTTACTGCACTAAAACTTGGAAACCGCAAGATATTTAGGCTTTTCCTTTCTGTGTAATGTTCTGCAATTTCTAAGGGGAGAGCGTGGAAGGTTTGGGAAAAAAAAATAATAATAAAGATTAAATTGAAACTATAATGGTTACATTTTTTTGAAAGTAAAAACGCGTAAACATTTGTAGAGAGGTCCCAAGTTCAACATTAGTGGACAAAAAGTCAAATGCAGGGGATTATCTGAAGGAAGCAAAAAGAATACTGTAAAAAAATAAATCTGAAGCAACATTGGCCGAAAACAAAGGGATTTCCTGTTCTTGTAATCGTTTTTTAAATCACGAATGTACTGTATGTTGACATGAATTTTATCTGACATAAGTTTCACTATTATTTTTTGGTTTATTTTTCTGAAAAACAAAATGTGTTCTATGCTTAGACTTAACCAAAACTGGACCAAATATAAAGTCTGTTTATTTCTTCATATTTAACTATTAACTTCTAATGATGTGTTGGGTTAACATTTTAGAATAAATTACATATGGTTGTGTTCCTCAAAAAATAGAATCCAAATCCATCAATGCTGAAAGTTAACATTAATAACAATTGAAAATGATTTTGGGGGCCGCTGAAATGGTCGCGTGGGCCGGATTTGGCCACGTGCCTGGGGTTTGACATGTATAGGGAGCTGGACAACCAATGTTTATAAATCCTAATAAATATCCACAAATATCCCGGATCCAACAGATGAGACTAGATTATAGAGAACCAACTCAGATAAAGCTCTTACAAACTTCTTCAGACTGCCAACCACTCCATTCTTGCCCCAAACAAACAATAACCACCCCAAAAGTTTCCATCTAACTTAACAGACTGTATAATTCCACCGGCCAACTCTCCATGTCCAACAAACCCTTTAGCTCTTGATCAACCCCACTCTGCTCTGGATTCATTACGGCGAAGTTGCGGATCCGTCGAGGGAACGGCGGCGAAAGGCTTTGATTGATGTTAGCTTGTAGCCTGGAGCAGAGCAAACTCTACACACGACAATCCGTTCCAGCCGTAGCCGTGACAGGCCTGGTGAGCGCGGGTGGAGGTTGGGTATTAGCATGCGGCGAGCGGAACGGGGCACAATCAAAGTTGCTGGGCTGATAAAGTTGCGCGGTGATGGGCTTGATGTGGTGTTGGGGGGAGAGCGGACCCCAGACACAGGTCCCAGGGAGCTGCTCTGCCCTCCAGTCAACATGGACACTTTGATCAGAGCGGTGCTGCGCTGGGACGAGGGGGATTGGGGAACGCATCTCAATCACGCCGACGTCCATCACCGCCGGTAATCATGTTTATTAGTTATGAACGTAGCAAGAACTTCCACAAGTCTCTTTCAATTACCTATCCGTCTGGCGTCAGGAGTTTTGTGTGTTCTCAAGCTTGGAATGAATTAGACAAAAACAAAAGTCAGGTAAGAGTAGAAGGAAGAAGAGCTCCCTTAGAGACTGTGAGGTGCTCAGTCAAAAGAGAGGAGCTCAGAGTGGAGCTGCTGCTTTTCCACATCGAGAGGAGCGAGTTGAGGTAGCTTGGGAATGTATTTGGAATGCCTCCTGGACTCTTCTCTGGAGACTCTTCCACAGGACATGTTGGAGGGACTGTGTCTCTCAGCTGGTCTGGCAACCCCTCGGAGAAAGTGTGTGTGGAAGGGGATGTCTAGGCGTCTCTGTTCAGACAGCTTACTCCGTGAACTGGCAACGGTAAAAGCCGAAGAAAATGGTTGTGAAAATTCAGTATAAAATAGGTGATTGAAGTGCAGGAGGAAAAGTCTAAGTTGTTAATTTGATTTGGACAGTGCAAGCTAATTACCGCACCTCTCTGGAATGTGTCCTTGGACCACTTTCCATCCGTTGTCCAACAATCACTTTCACTAACTCACTTCAATTACACTGGAATATTGTACATGCTTTTAGTAATAAGGGGAACTTGAGCAGCTGGAGAAAACCTACACAGAAGCAGGGAGAACAAGCAAACTCCACACAGAAAAGTCCACACTGACTTTTGAGCTGCACCCTCCTGCTCGCCTGGGAATCTCTCCTGTCCTGCACCACACAGCCTCAGTCCTCGATCTACAGACTGACAGTCCGATGGAGTGGATCTCTCTCTCTCAATATGGGCCTCCCCAAGGTTTCTCACTTTTTTCCTACTGTTTCTTTCTTGAGTCATTCCTTGCCAGTGCAGGAGGGTCTAAGGACAGCGATGACCCACGACGATAAAGGACATTTATGAACACTTTTCTTTTCCTGTGTTCAAACTGTTTGTTTCTCTGATCTGTTGTTGGCGAATCGACATCTTTGTAAAGTCCTGAGACGACTGCTTTTGTGATCAAGGACTTAATGAACCAACTCGGACTCTGAGGAACACAGGGACTGGCCTCCTGCTGGTACCCAGAGTCAGAACTAAACATGGAGAGGCTGCATTTCAGATTCACACGGATAAAATCTTGAACAGTCTTCCTGAAAATGTGGGACAGGCATCTTCTCTGAGAAATCCAGACTAAAAAACTATTTTAAGCTGTGCACACAACCGAGCAATTTATATTTTCACTCTTTAACTGTGATTATTTATGATGCTAAGGCCTTGCGTGATTGTTTTTGGTTTTGTTCCGCACTTTTCTTCAGTTTCCTTGTGTATGAATTGTGCCATCCAATGAAACTTCACTTGTCTTCACTTACACAAAAATAAGTGTAATTGAATTTAATTGATATGCAAGCCTTAAGGTCTACCTCTCCCAACAGGCTGTACACACATCGATTCAAACATTTGTACAATTTTTAACGTAAAGTTTCTGGACCTGTGACATTTTGAGACTTTCTGCTGTACACAGTCTGTCCCCTCACTCATTCACACATTCCTCCTTCAGCTGCTTTCACCTGGGGCCGACACGGGGCCATCGCTCACACGCCTCAGCCGGGGGCCTCAAAGTGGGGGCCAAAGAGTCTCTAATTGGACAAGTGAGAGCAGGAATCCGAGTGCCGCGCTGACCACTCCTTGACATGCCATTTGCCTCAGAGGACCCCCGGGGCTGTCCGTGGATTTGCCCGACACTGACATAAGTCGTATCCGAGGCAAAGACCACAGACTAACAAGACCAGGACACAGCTTTGAGGAGGAGAGATGGAAAGGACAGATGAGGCTGTTTGGGAAAAAGTTGGGAAATGTCAAGAAATATGAACCTGGATGGTCATATAGAATGTCTTCTATAAGTTTAAGCACCAACTATACAGTGTAGTGTGTATGCCTATGTCATCAAATCCACACAATGTCACTCAAGTTTCTTCAGTCTCGATGACCATTTGCAACATCATTCTAGATCAGTTATTGCCAACTTTTTCTGCCGGGCCCCCCTCTGGTTCATTGCAGTTTATTTCAGACATTGTAATTAAGATAAACCTCAGAAGAAGATGAAGAAGAAGAAGAAGAAGGTCCTTTATTCGTCCCACAGTGGGAAAAACCCTCCTTATAGACAAAGTGGGTTAAGTGTCTTGCCCAAGAACACAACAACAGCAGACATCAGTGGGAGTCGGTGGAGAGGGTCTCGTGGTGGGCTCAAACCCACGACCTTTGGGCTCAAAGGCCAATGCTCCACCAACTGAGCCACTGTCGCCCCAGTGTCAATTGGGGGTGTCAATTATGCTACCAATGTCATTTAGCCTACTGTATTTTCGGGTTATTTATTTATTTTTATTTTTTATTCATTTACTGTATTTTTGTTCATTAATTCGTCCCCCGCCCCCCCTGCCATTGCTCTGTGCCCCCCACTTTGGGAACTTGGATGATGTTGCAACGCACATGAGAGTGGTTAGCTCTCATGACTCACAGAATATAAGTTTGAGTCCTGTACACCCAGGCTTTCCCACGCCACCTTAAGCATTAACTATTATTCTAATTCAATGTAATGTCATTCGTACATATTTGATTTCTAAAATGACCCAAGGAAAATGATAGCTAATGCAGCATGCTCCTGAAGCTAAATGGGATTACATAAAAAGTAAAAAAAACAAACTTCGGCAACAACGACTGGAGATGGGTTTTTAGCGCTTTATAGAATGGGTCAAATACCATCCTTTGTGGCACAGTTCAACCATTGGATGTAACTCTCAAACTTATTCACCCAGAACTGTCGCACATGTTTTTAATGTGTGTGATTTGAATTTAAGGTTTTAGAATTCTGTGTGATTTTAATGTTTATGATTTACAGTAATGTCTTTGGCAGTGAAGATCTTTGTAATATGTTGTGTAGTAAATATGCTCTACAAACACAGGTTGATTGATTGATTTGAATCAGAATCAATTCTTTTTGTTGTCGTTGTAGGTAACAGGAAGTCACAAGCTCGGAATACTGTATGCTTTGGAGCAAGATTCCAGGCATGCATAAACCAATCTTCATAAATGCTCTTAAAATGACTATTGTAACCACACAAAATCAGTGCAGTTAAAGTGAGTAGCAGTGGGGGACACCGGAGCACCCAGAGGAAATGTCGGCAGGTTTTTGGTAGTACCTGAAAACGCTGCACAGAAAGCCCCTGTCTGGAGGTGGAATCCAACCCAGAACCTTCAAACCACCGCGCCACCATCAGTTCTTTCTTCTTTTCCTCCTGCGCCACTTCTGAGGCTATAAGCTTGACCTGCTCCCCTCTCACCAAAACTGCACAATTAACGTCACACTTTTTTTTCTTTGCCGGTGGTGAAAGATTTGAACTTCTCCACTAAAAAAGTTTTTTCCTCTCCACAACGTTTCCTAACTTTTACCCCACCGTACACAGCACTTGGCCTTTCTAAACTGTGCATCCACGCGGCTACACCGGCTCTTACAGACACTTCCCTGCTCCCCTCTGCTCCCAACTTTATCCTGTAACACTCAAAGGACTTGCAGATCTCAAACCGGCTTTAATCGCAAAGAGAGAAAAAAGCGCCCCGCACAGCACTCCCCTCCCACCCCCATTTCCATTCCCCTCTCTCCCAATTCTAATCCTGCCTTCATCATCGGTGCGGTGACACCCGGTATATTATTTACAGCGCCGCACCCTTCTCCGGAGATCAGAAAACTCCTTTAGAAAGTGCAACACAAACAAACAAGAGTCCTCCATCTCCTCTAGCATCCACCTGAAACGCGGCAGCTAGCTCCCCGCCGCTTTTTGATGCCTCTTCGCTAGCTACGGCAAAAAAACGCAAGCAGAGCCGGGAAAGTGTGTCGCCGGCTTGCGGGGAGGAAAGCGCGACGCATCAAAACGCTATCAATGCAATCGCTAGTGCCAGGGCGCAGCAGTTTAGCCTGTTTAGCGCGCGGCGGATGCTAACGGGATGCGACGACGACAGCCACATGTTTGCAGTCATCTCGCCGTGACGGGTGGAGAGAGAGGGCGCGCGCTGCTTTTGAACGAGAAACGAGAAGGAAAAGGCAACAAATTCTCGCAATGCCTGAAAGAAATAAAGGCAAATAGTGATGCGGAACTGATGTCTCAAGTTAGCATGTTTTTACGGGAAGAAGCGACTTTTTAGAGCGGGAATGCGTTGTGAAGTAATGCGACGTATTTGTAGGCATTGACAGCGGCGTGCCGGGTAAACAGGATAGGATAAAAATGACTCAAAAGCGCAGAAAAGGGTCGATTCAACAGGTTTTTATTTTATTAAAAAAATATTATGCAACGGTTGAAATTGCCACAACATACACACTTTCTCTGTTATGCTAAAGTTACTGTATATATTTTAGACTTGCTTTCTTTATGTAGCTAGATATGTTACGTGATTGTTTGTTATGCTAACACTAGAGAGGTTCCACTTGCTTCTATATTATGCTAAAGTTAGAGATTTTATTTTATTTGGTACAGAGTTATTGTTCACTTATAACTGCTGTGTGCTCCTTATTCCTACTGTTCTATAATTATGCTAAAGTCAGATATTTTATACTTAATTCTTGCTTATTTATTATGCTAAAGTTATAGAAATATAATTATAATATACATATATTATCATTTTATTTTAATATTGAGGTATTGTTCAATTCTACTGTTCTGTAACTGGTGATGCAACACTGAAATGTCCTCTCTGTGGGAAAAACACAAGATTTCTTAATCTGTATTGACGGATAAGACCAAGACAGCGAATTGATCCGTCTGTTTTTCAGGTTGAAAGAAGCCGTAGACCTTTAGAATTCATTTAGTTTTGTCAACTCTAGGCCAACTCTTGATATTCATATATGTCTGTTGATTTGTGACCTTGGATTCACATGTTATACATAGTTTATTTTACAATCAATTTAGTAAAGCGTCAAAAA